GTCTTCTTATGCCTATTACCTGATCGTGTCATTACCTCATGATCTCATAGCCTGGTGTGCTTCTTCTATGTGGGCTTGTTGCTTCTCTGCTAGATGGCTGCTTGTTTAACTTCAAGTCTTTAAGACTGCAGACACTTTATCTTTTGATAGCTGGGTACCCATCGCTTTCTTCACCACATTTGCTTGTGTACCCTTTTTGTCTTAAGCAATCATGACACGGAAAGTTTTTGGGTGAGGCAGAGAGACAAACTTCCTAAGAGAAATGTCTATAACAATGGTATCACAAGAGGAATTACTCAGGAGCTTATTTAAGACCTTGTATCATGTCAGAAAAGTTCTCGGGACTTGAGCCTCTTTCTTCCATGAGAGGATGAGGGTGAACACTAGCCTCTCAGTCTGGCTCCCAGAAAAAGGAATTGGGCCGATGAGCAATAAGTCCAGCAATGTCATTCCCTGGCCATGCAAGCCCCACAGGAAATCTCAGAATTACAGGTCGGGACAAGGCCCCACAAGAATGTTGCTGCAGCCAGAGCCTTGTGGTTGGATGCCACCAAAGAATTTCCTAGGGGAAGGGTTCACAGGGAAATTGCACCACTCGATGGAAAGATGCTACACTTGAGGCTAGCAAATGCCTTTCCCGGACTACTGGCAGACGGGTGTGCGGGCGTTTTTAAAGTGCCCTCAGATTTAGCCAAGTCTTCTTATCCCCTTGAAGCTCACAGGAGCCCTGAGGCTGACAGCAGGCAGGGCATTTCTCTAGGATGTCAGAGCCCAGGCCATGGCTGGATGGTTTTATCAGTTGACCTAAGAAAACATAAGGACTTGCTGTTTGCGGAGCCAGCCTTGAGGTTATAGTTTTAAACCATGGCATGCTGGCCAGGGCAGAGAGGTTAGAGGGCTGTGCCCCAAAGGGAAAGCCACCCCAGGGAGCATGGCCAGTGCCTGCCGTTGCTCCCCGTCGTGTGTTCTCATCCATTAAAGCTGGGACGGGAGAATGAAGAAGGAGCGGTGCTTGTAGAAGTATACCAGTAAGACATCTTTCCCGTAGTGAGTGCTCATTACGCAGCAAGTATTGAGTACCTGTGACCTGCGGAGCCCATTCCTCTCCAGTAGACACTGGGTCTGCATGAGGACACCAAGCAGCCCCACCCTGGGAACCACTCCTAGTTAGGAAAGACATGAAGACAATGAGGGGTCTTCAAAAAGTTCCTGGAAAAATGGAATGAAAAGATAATGGGATTTTTCCAGGAGCGTTTTGAAGGCCCCTCATGCTGTTTTAGGTGGTGGTAGGTGCTGTGCAGAAAGCTTGGGGAAGGCGCTAAAGAGCACGGAGCTGAGTGTGATCAAGGAGACCTTCCCGATAGAGTGACGTTTGAAAAGGGCTGGAAGGAAATGAGGGAGCAGGTGATGCAGTGTCTGGGAAGAGGGTCCTAGTCCAGAGAAGCGCCAAGGGGCTGGCCAGCAGGAAGCCGCCTGGGGGCCTCAAGGGCTGCTGGGCCTGCGAGGCGGGGCCTGAACCAGTCGGGGAGTCCGAGTTAGTCAGAGCAAGGTCTTGGGTTTTGGCAGCTGAAAACAGGGTTTAAATTGGTTTCATTCCAATTGGACTCCCCTCCTGAAAATTTGCATTTCCACGCCAGAAAGAATAACTCAGAATCTACATTTTAAATAGATCCCCAGATGATTCTTGTCCTGCTGAGGATCTGAGAATTTGCTTTCCACCCAGACACGTGGTTGTGGTTGTGCTTAGATGTCATGCATAGAACTCAGACTCCTAGCAGAGCCGTGTGTGATGAAGGAAACGCCGCCTGTCCGCGGCCCCTCACCGTTGCACTGTGCCGGAGCCCGTTGTTGCAGCTGTTGCAGCCTTCGTGTCAGTCCAGCAGTGAGCCGCTTCCTTTTCTCCGAGGATCCTCCATGGAGCCTGGCGGCATGGCCTTCTCCAGAGACTGGTTGCTCCTGTAACACGGACAGCGTGTCCGAGATGAAGTTGCAGTCTTGCTCGCCATCCTGGCTCCTGCGGTGCATCCGGTTGTGCTTCCCCCAGGACGGCCGTGTCCGTTCTTCTGGTGGTCTGTGGTGCTTTCAGCCAGCGCCGTCACTCAGTGCTCCTTCCGTTCTCCTGAGCCCTTACGCAGCTTCCAGTGCCACAGCTATGCCCGGCAATTGGTGCAGAAGAATAATTAATTAATTACCTGAGGAATCTTGTAAAGTGGAGGTTCTGATACATCTGGGGAGAATATATATATTTTCACCAGGAGGTTGACTTGAATGAACCGTGATAGTAAATCAAAACAATACAGACTCACTGTAATAGCGACGATTCTGACTCAGTGGCCCTCCAGGATAGACAGAGGGGCACTCCTAGCTTGTCAAGTCTCTGTGGTAGTAGACACCCTCCATTGTCTCCCGGGCAGCACATCTGATCGGTGTGACCCCGCCGACCGGCTGCTGCACCAGGACTCCCTGGTGGTAAAGGTGTTCATTTGCATACTGGACCCCTGGAGGCTCGGCAGGTTTAACTCAGCCAGTGTGTGGAGAGACAGGGCAGGAGAAAGGTGACCAGGTAGAAGGCTGTTGTATGAAGGTCAGATTCGGGGTTCATTGTGAGCCAGCGCCACCAAGATTTGTTGAGGTGAGAGTAGTCTGAGTTGCTTTGAGCACCGACCAGAGTCGTCTTTCACAGAACCTGGGAGTTCTGCGGAGTTTCTGACTTGATTAGAAGTTTTAGAAAGAAGCTGTGAAGACTCAGGAAGAAGAAATGTGGGCAAACCACTGGTTCTTTCGTTTTCTCCGTCCCCTTGGAGCCAAATGTGATTTCCACCATAGAAGCTTTCAGGGACATTTACTCAGGCCTCCACCACTTGGCAGGGTAGGCTCCTTGGGGCTCCTTGAAGCTGCTAACGGAAAGGTTGGCGGTTTGAATCCACTCAAGAAGATTGGACAGCCCCCACATGCCTAGGGAGCAGCTCTGCCCGCCCTTTTGGGTTGTCTGCGTCAGAATGGACAGCGGGCCCCACAGCAGTGGCGGTGTGGTCCAGATTTCATCACGAGGGTCTTCTGAGCTTCGGTGGGTTTAGAGACGAGCGAGGAACCATTGAAGTACATCTGGTCAGAAAACAGGTCCCCACCCTACCTGGAATATCCCTCTGCTGGAATTCTAAAGCGGACTCCAAGCTGGAATCGTTGACCCGAGTCTGAGCAGGAAGCTCTTGCCGAGGCTCCGGGGGCTGGTGTTGCCCACTGGGGCAGCGCGCCTGCAGAGATTGCCTGGGCGGCCAGGGCCCCCAGCAGGGCTGGCTCTGCAGAGGGGAACCTTGCTCACTCCCTGCCCAGTGCATGCACATTCTTGAGTGGTGCGTCAGGGGCTATTCATGTTCTCCTCTTTTAAGTCTCCACTCGTAAAGTCTAAGGGTTGTTTATCAAGGGAAGTTTTAAGTTTCCACTTTGATATCACAATGATAGGCCAGTATCGGCTTAGCAGTGTAATTAAACAGAATTCCTTAGCAACCACACACTTGTGGCCATTGCCTTGTTTATGGCGCTCTGGAGTGTGGTAAGGAAGCGGTGCGAGTAGGGCAGATGGGAGATGAGTGAAGGGACAAGGCCCTTGGTAGTCATCGGGAAATTGGACATGAGAAGATACACAGGAACCAGAGCCTCATTGGGCTGGATAAGGAGTTGTGTAGCCACCTGTTGGAAAAAGCCTCCAAATATATGATTTAATAACTATCTGGGCAGGGTGTGGGAGAAGTTAGAGACGGGCGTTAGGGGTGCCCAGAGAGGTTCATTGGTGAAGGCCTTGGGGAATAAGGGGCATCCATTTCCTCCCTCCGTCTCAGACACTGGGGCTCCTAAGCAAGCTACAGTGATGTGTAGCTCACCTGCCATCTTCCCCAACCTCTCCACCTCCCCAGGCCAGGTGGGCACAGTAGTGGTCCAGTGGAGCCTACAGCTGCTTCGGTGAAAGGCACTGGGGGAGAGAGAAGGGCCGAGGGCCACAGTCACACTGCCTGTGCCAGGCTCTGCTTTGTGGGCTCCAGTGGTGGCTCAGTCTCCTGCACCCTGGGCGGCGATGGTTTGGATTGTCCTCTCATCCCACTGCCACTAGTTGACTCGGACTGGAGTGGCCTGACATAAGGTTTCCCAGGTTGTACGTCTTTATAGGGTTTCAACTGCAGATTGATTTTGCAGTTAGGCATCCAGCATTCACCCGGCAGCGCCACCAGACCTGGACACTCAACAAGAGAGCCTTCATCGCAAGTGGGCGAAATGGGAATGCAGCCACAGCTGTGTCCTCGGGCAGGGGCCAGCCACCATGAAGCCACACACTTGGGGTGGGTGGGGGGAGTGACCACAGGGCAAGGAATGGACAGACAGTCTTTCCTTTGACTAATCTCATGCAGCCCAGGTCCAGATGTGGCTTCTGAAAGTCGTGTCTAAGTTGGGTTTTTTATTATTCAGATCCAAACGGGGTAGGAGGTAAACGTCTCAAAGGTCTGGTTCACAGAGTGTGTCACTGTCCGGGATTCCTGGCTGGCCACGGTTTCATTAGAAACGCAGATGGCGACCTGACTCATGTGCACGGAGAGGGAGGCGTGGGACACAGCGGCTCCCAGTGTGCGCTGGCGGTGCTGCAGCAATGGGGCCCGGGCGGCTGGCCCAGACCACGGAAAACCTTGAAAGGAGACAGTCAGTTATGGGGCAGGAACTAGACCCTGGAATTTCCTGGCCTTTGTCTGTCTGCTGTAAGCTCATGGACCGAGAAGCCTGTTTTTAGCACCCGCTTCCTTCTGGGGGGAGAGTTCCTGTCTTCCACCGAGCAGTTGTGCTTCCTGCACTGAGAGCGGGATGGCAGTGGGGAGCGGGAGAGGGATTCTGGCAGGTGTGTACCTGGCTACATTGGAAGTCCGGAAGATGTCATAGCCCCTGGGCTCCAAAGCTGCCTTTGCCAACCTGCCCCTTTGCCCTTGCCCTGACCATATTTCTTTCCTACATTGCAGCAGAAAAAATCTTACCTTGAGCGGAGTGTCAAGGAAGCTGAGGACAACATCCGGGAGATGCTGATGGCAAGAAGGGCCCAGTAGGAAGTCCAAGGAGACTCCCCCTCACCCACCTCCCCAACCTTCTTGGCAAGGATGGGCATGGGGCAAGGAAAGCCTTTGCTCGCCCCATCGAAACTGTACTGGGCAGCCTCACCACCCCACATTGTCTCCACTACCCAAGTCCCTTACAGATCTCAACCCACAGTTGTTACCTGCCTCTGCCTGCCGCTCCTGTCCAGACACGCCCCTCTCCCAGGGGTCAGGGCTGACTTCCCTCTGGGGAAGGCAGGAGCCAGGGGAGCTCTGGCCGAGCCTACCATTGGTACCATGCTGGTCAGACCAATAAAGGCTTCTGCCTCACACTACCATGTCTGTTTTGCTTGAGCTGAGGCGAGGACAGAGGCCCGAGAGGCAGGGGCCACCTGTGTACTTCAGCCCCTGCCAATCCTTGCCCCTTTCTCTGGTCTCATTCTGGTCTCCTGAGCAGTTCTCTCAAGTTCTGGCCGTCCTTGTAGTATACAGATGGGAAAGAAGGAAGATGAGGGAGTAAGTGAATTGAACAGAATGGCAGTTTCTCTAGGGCATTCTTTCTGACGATTCCTTCCCCTGCTTCGTCCCAAAGATCCCAAAAGACATTCAGTAATAACCAGCCGACCTTTCTGTCTCTGTCCTGAGGAAGAGGGCACCATGATCCCGAGGTCTCCTAGGCTTGGGGCCACTGGTATGCTGGAGCGGACTTATTTATTACCTACCCTGGCTCAAGAGAGCCAGTTAGCACACTGGCAGACATTTTGTTGCAAGCCAGCTGTTAAACACCATTATCAAGTATGTGAACTTACAATGAAATTATATTAAAAACAAGGGTGATCTTTAAAACGCATCTTTTCCTCATTATTTTGCGACTGTCCATCTCTGCTCTGGGTGTTTGTCGCCTGTTGTGTGTGGCTGATGGAAATCCTGTGGTGGGTGGTGCTACTGCACGTCTCTTCCCGCCTCCCTAGAAATCAGTGAGTGCTACAAAACCATGGCCTTCTCTCCTTTTAGAGAAATCAGGAGCAGATAGTTCATCTACCCCCACACTGCTCAGGGAGTTAGGTGGGAAGGGGAAGACAGTTGCCACTGTACCCTCTGGCCTTACTCCCTGCAGCTCAGTGCCACCCTGTGGCCAGAGTGGGGATGGACAGCAGCCTGGCTCTGCACTGAGGCCCCTTGCTGAGGCTCTGGGGAAAAGCAGGTGCAATCCTCTTGACTGCTACCAGAGAGAGGAACCTGCCTTCCTGACACCCCACGCTGCTGTGGTATCCTCTCCCTCCCTCCCTGCCATCAAGTCCATGCGGACTCAGCGACTTAGAGGACAGGTAGAAGTGCCCCTGTGGGTTTATCAGACTATTAACTCTTAACGGGAGTAGAAAGCCCCATCTTTATCCCTCAGCACAGCTGGTGGTTTTGAACTGGTGACCTTGCAGTTAGCAGCCCAATGCAGAACCACTACCTCACCAGGCTGCTATGGTGTACTCAGTGAAGGGAAAATGGGCTCCTCTTCAGATGTGGAGAGACATCTGAGGCAGCCACAGTTGCTAAGCCTTAGCTTAACCTGGGATTTCAGTGAGCAGGAGAGAGTCCGGCATAGACCAAGGCATAGACTATCTAGAATAATGTAGACCATTGAGGTTTGAACAGATTTATTGAAACATACAGGTGCTAGCAGAGAAATTATTCAGTGGTGTGTTACATGGGGCCAGTACTTTGTATAATTTTAAAATTATAAACATACATATTTCAGAAGCCTTTGGCTAAAACAAACAGAAGAGTCATTTAGCACATTCGTTAAAGACCAATAAGAACCAGATTCTGAGCAGTAAAAAGATCAAGTCACTGAATTAAACAGCAGCAACCCCCCCAATCTAGAATCTCGTCGATTTGAAAGCAGAGGTGCCTGGGCAGAGCTAGTCGTTACAGCAATCGGAAGAGACGGGACAGGCACACTCGTCAGGCCGTGGCAGCACTGGCAGGACCGGAGGGGCTGGGCTTGTCAGGTGAGCATATCCCAGAGGCAGCAGCAACAGAGAGCAGTCCAGCAGGCAGTGAGACAGGTGGAGGAGCCCATGTCATCCCTTCTTTGGTCTTCCACCACATAGACTGGAGAGAGAAGGGGGAGACGTGAGAATGGCCAGCACAGCCCCACACCCTCCAGAGCAGAGCCTCTCAGGCCAAGGGAGAGCCACGACTGGACAGCTTTAAGCAGACTGGGTCTTGGCCTTTCTGTACCTGCCGTTACTGATACACTGGAGGACGGTGACCCAGCGCCACACCTTTCGCTCCTGCTTTTCCCTTCAACTAAGGACCTTCTTCCCTGCAAGGACAAGTGGTGGGTACCTCACTGCGGTGCGGTGCAGTGCACCAGGGCAGCTGCGGCTGGCTAACCTTAGTTAGCTTATAAACCAGTCAGTACAATGGTCCCTTTCCCACAGGGGGCTGGCGAGTGTCTTCAGATGCAGCCAAGCTATCACAACACGGGGGTAAGGGTGTGTCTGGGATGAGACCTAAGAGGGCCTAACTGAATAACCAAGAATCCCTCGTTTTCATCCCTGGGCATTACACACCAGCAGGGTGGGCCCCCAACCTGTGTACTCTGTTGTCCACAGCTCTCAGTGCCAACACAGTAATGCAGGCTGGATGAAAACCAGGTGGAGTGAGATGATGGTTAGAACTTGCACAGTGTCCCCTGAGCCTAGCACTCCTGCTTCTCCACAGAAGGTTTTGGAGTTGAGGCCTAAGCCTGTTAGGGCTAAGCGCTCCATTGAGAGCTCTGAGCTCTATAAAGCTGAGAGGTCAAAGACCCCAACTACATTTCACTCGGCAGCTGACTTACGGCTGGCAATTAGTCTCTCTTCCCATAAAGACATTTTAAATGGCTGCGGGTCAACCTCAGCCTTGAAGGATCTGTGGCTACTTAAAACAAGTCTCTCAGCCGCCGCCGCCACCACCACCACCACCAATCAAACCCATAAGGCAGTAAGCGTTTTGAACTTTTTCAAAGCTCATGAAAGCATGAATCTTATAAATTAAGTCCCCTGGCAATCTTTGTTTCAGTTCTATTTTTGTACATGGTGTCTATTTTTATATCTCCTTTTGACAAACCCTCTTTCTGAGATGGGTGGCAGTGAGCTGTGAAGTCCTGCTGGGTTCCCAGCAGCCCCTAGGCCACATATTCTAGTGCAAGAAAAGTCGCCTCTGCTTGTAGTGTCCGGCAGGACGGACACCTGTCCGGTCCGTGCCCCCCAGCACTGCTGTGCTTGAAACCCACTGTTGGCCATGTGTCGCCCATCTGCATGAGCGAGTCTTCCTTTTTGTTGGCTCTGCCATGCACGATGTCCTTTTCCAGGGGCTAGGCCCTCACCGTCCAGAGTCTCACCATCCTCGCTTCTAAGGATCACTCTAAGACAGCCCTTAGCATATTTAATATCAACACCATAATTCAAGGGCATCGAGTCTTGGGTTTTCCTTAATCACTGCTCAGCTTTCAAATGCACACGAGGCAATTGGAAATACCATGGCTCGAATCAGTTGCACCATAGCCCTCAAAGTAACACCATTTACACTTTAAGGCAGTAGTTCCCAACCTGTGGGTTGTGACCCATTTGGGAATCAAACGACCCTTTCACAGGGGTTGCCCAATTCATAAGAGTTATGAAGTAGCAATGAAGATAATTTTATGGTTGGGGGGGGGGTGGCGGTCACCACAGCATGAGGAACTGTATTAAAGAGTCACAGCATTAGGAAGGTTGAGAACCACTGCTTTCAAGAGACCCTTTTGCAGTAGATTTGCAATGTCCTGTGATTTGTTGACTGCTGCTTCTATGGGCATTGATTGTGGAGTCAAGTAAGATCCTAGAACAACTTTAATCTTTTTTCCATTAATGATGATATTATTGGTCTGATTGTGAGGCTTTTTTACTTTCTATTCTTTAATTGTAATCCATTCTGAAGGCTGCAGTCCTTGATGTAAGTTAAGTGCTTCGCCTACTTTGCTTTCAGCAAGGTTGTGTCTTGTCATCTCCTTAACACACGTTGTTAATTAGTCATTCTCCTGTCAATCCTCACGCCATTCTTCTTCATGTTGTTCAATTTTTCAAATTACTCGCTCAGCTTCAGACTGAACCAGTATGGTGGAAGAGTGTAACGCCAACACACACCTTTTAAAATTTAAAACCAAGCAGCACCTCGTTAATGTTTCAGCGGCTGCTTCTTGGTCTATGCACAGCTTCCACGTGACCACAATGTTCTGGAATTTCCTTTCTCTGAAATAAATACTACCTATAGTTTGTTAAGATTCACTCAAGTTGAATGCTGTGCACAGGCCGTGAAACACAGGTAAACAACTTTCTGCTCCTCTGCTTTCAGTCAGGATCTGCCTAACATTAGCAATGGTATTGCTCGTTCCACGTTCCCTTCTGAATCCTTCTGGAATGTCTGGCAGTGTCCTGTCGATGCACCGCTGCCTCTGCGCTTGCTGTCTTTACTGATGTACGATAATGGTACAGTGTTTGAAAAGCTGCAGCATTCTGTTGGTTGGGGCACCTTTCTTTGGAATGGGCACACATAGGAATCCCTCCCCGTCAGTTGGCCAAGTCAGATTTCTGGTCACAGACAGCACTGGATCGGTGTTGAAACGTCTCAGTTGACTTGTTTTTCCCCAATGCCTTCAGGGCAGCTTGGACTTCTGCCTCCAGTACCATTAGTTCTTGATCCTGAACATATGCCCATTCCTTTTGGTGCTTCCTGCATTGTTGAGTGTCTTACCTGTTTCTTTTGGCTTGAAAGTGCCAAACCTGTTCTTCACGTTCCGTGTTTTCGCTCTAGGTCTTTGCATGTTTCACCACTTGACTTTGTCTTCTCAGGCCCCTTTCGAAATCTGTTCAGTTCTTTTACTTCATAATTTCTCCTTAGCTACTTTACAGTCAGGAGCAAGATTCAAAGTCTCTTAACATCTAGGTTTTTTTTTTTTTTTCGTTTTCCTGTCTTTTAAATGACCATTGGCTTTCTTGTTTATCATGTCTTGTTGTCATCCCATAACTCATCTGGTCTTCTGTCACTGGGGTTCAGCATTTCGCCTGTTCTTGACATGGCCTTTAAGTTCAGGTGTTGGGAAATGCTCAAGGTCGTACTTTGGCTATTGCCAAAGATGTTTTTCTTTAGCTCCAACTTGAACTTGCATTTGAGCAATTAATGGTCAGTTCTCTAGTTGAGCTCTGTCATCTCTTTCCACAGGTGTAGTCAATCTGATTCCTGCACACTCCATCCATGTGTATAGTTCTCATGTTGTTGAAAAAAGTACATGTAAGGAATATGTCATTGGTCTTGCAAAATTCTATCATATGATGTGTGGTGTTACTTCTGTCACCAAGGCCTTGGTGTTTTCCAGCTACTGGCCCTTCTTCGTTTCCAATCCCCAGTAATTAGCAACGTAGCTACAGCCACCAACGTGGCAGGCAAGTGGTGGCTAGACCAAGTGGACACCCCTTTTCCCTTCCCTCCTGACACGGTTCATCCACTTAGCAGCAGCAGCCCAGCAACTGCTCTGGGAGGGAAGAACCCGCCAGGGAAACCTGGTCAAAGGGACGGAGACGATCCATGGAATCTGAGGACTCAAAGGACAGCTCCTCGCTGCTCCCCTCCCCTCCCCTCCCCTCCGCACGTCCGCTGCCAGGGACAGGTCAGAGGCGTCCAACTGTTGATTCAGAGCAGCTCCGGCAGGGAAACCAAACAGCCCCAGTCTTGCTTCCTCTCTCACACTTCTCCTTCCATTTCGTCTGGCCCACTGGGGCTAATCTTACAACTTCGCACTTGGGAAATAAGGGGCTTTGAGGTCATGACTCCCCAGCAGTGCTGAAGTTGGAAACAGTGGCTCTGGGACAGAGGACTTCAAACGAAGGAAGGGGTTGCGTCAGTGCTGACGGATGCAAGTCTTAGCCTACGACAGTCAGCTACATCAAGACAAGGCCTCCGGAATGTGCTGCTTCGACTAGCTGAGGACAACCCTCCCTCCTAAAGGCATGCCCCTCCACCCCACCTCCCTGGGCCCTCCTGCCTGAGCAAGTTGGTGGGAGGATGGGGCAGGGAGTGGGGCAGGCCTGGGGTAAGAGTGACCTGAGTGACCCTTCCTTTTCAGTCACCCACAGCAGGGGTGACTGGCCCAGGAGAAAGAAAGCTCTAAGGCAGGCCTCACAGTTCCTTATGGTACCTGCTTTGGACCCCCTCCCCCACAGATGTGGCATTTTACAGCTGTATCTTTGCAGGCGCTCAGTCACCTGTAGGGGCCACAGCCCCGCATCTGCAGAGAGGCTGCTGCACTGAGCTGTGCTGCCTAGATTTTGCCTAAATCCTACTCCATTCCTGGGAGCCTCATGGCTGCTCTGATTAGCCGCCACCTGCCCCGACCTCTGCTCACAGCTCATGATCTCAGCCTGAGATGCCCCAGGCTCAGGGGAGCTTGGCTCCTGGGTGTAGAGCACTACCTTCTCAGATCCATGCTGAGGGATGTGGAGAGTCAGCCCAAGCGCTGGGGTCTTCCCTTCCAGGGTCGCCAGTGTGTAGCCCTGCCTGCCTGGACCATCAGAGCCTGGTCCTTGAGCCAGGGCGCTATGTGTATTAACACTGAGTGGCATCTTGGTCACTAGCAGGAGCTGGCGTTAAAAAGCTCGGGAGGGAGTGAAGGGAGGAGGGGGGGAACAAGAATAAGAAGAGTGTGTATGTGTGAGAGAGAGAGAGAGAGAGAGAGAGAGAGAGAGATCAGGAGAGCAGCGTGGGAGTGGAGTGGTGAGTAGTGGACACTGCCCTTCCAGGCTAGGCAGTAGTTAGTTCAGGCCTAGGTTCCAGAACCGGCTATGGCTGCTCAGATGTCACACCCTCTTGAAGAGCAAGCGCCCCCTTGTGGCCAGTCTGGGGATGCGCTGGGCTCCAGCTCTAGGTGAGAGTTACAGGGCCTAAAGGCCTGGCTTACATAACCCTCATCATCTTGGAAGCCCATGGTGAGGGCCTGTGCCCTGACCCGAGGCAAGGAAGACTGAAGGGACTATTCCCAGGGGACTAGAGGTTAGTTGGAGGGCAGGACCTGGCTCCCCCCACACTGGCTTGTC